CCCCCCCCCACAGAAAAACGAGCATACAAGTGCTTATTTTTATCAATCATGTTTTCTTGAAAAGGCTCTCAAATTTCCTAAACAGTCCCCTTGGCCGGTTTGTTTATACCACGATAGCATTTCAAGAAGTCGAGTGTGTAGCCCCTTCAAGTAATTATGAAATATTCGCTTTGTTCGAGCAGTTTTTAAATACTCGAGTACTTGCTCGAGTACCCATTCGAATCGAACATTTCATAATTACTCGGAATCGGGCCCGAGTCCAAAATACTGGACTCGTACCCCTCTAAAGTCGTCCTAATCGCCACATTATCTCCCTATGAAGCAACGTTTTTGATCACATCCCCTAAGAGACACTAACAGCAGACATTTCACATTTCTAACAAATGTGATGAACTTGATTCCTGTTATTTTTAAAAAGTTAAATATATATTTTGTCGAGTATCTCTGTCCGTCTTTCCTATCAAACGTCTATCGTCTTTATCTCCCCTCCTTCTTTTTTATGTTTGTTACTCTCCTGTAGCCCCTCTAATCCTCGGCACTTATATTGACCTTATTGTGTTGCAAGTGCCGTAAAACGCTTACTAAAACATCTACCACCCTCTTCTCTACCACCCTCTTCTCTACCACCCTCTTCTCTTCCACCCTCTTCTCTTCCACCATTCCCAGGCTCCGTGACAGAAGACAAACCAGCAGACAGAGAGGAAGAGGTCATCCTCGGAGAGATCGAGGGAGAGTGTGAGTACAGCTTTTAGTTGAGTTTCAGTAAAGGTTTTACGACGTTCGCAACAGCATAATGTCATAATATGAGGGCCAGAAGATTAGAGGTGTGACAAGAGATTAACTAACAAACATTAAAAAGAAGAAGGGGAGATAAGGACGATAGATGTTTGATAGGAAAGAAGAAGCAAGCCACACCAAAACACCCGCCAACCACCAACGAGTACAGCTTTATACAAAAATTGTTGCGGGTGGTTAACGGGTGCTCTGGTGAAGTTCTACCTGACATTTTTTTACCTTTTTTTTCAGTGACTAAGACCACGCTGTCAGAAACCAGACGTTCTATATATCTGCTCCATCAAAATCGTAAAATTGTTCGGAGTCGTTATCAAGATATTCAAAGAATTGCATTCGAAAAGGCTTGACATATTGAGAAACTCAAATTTTTAAATCAATAAATTCTTAAAACTGGTTACTGAGTTGACAAAACTTTGTAATTTTAGGGTAGCCTAGCGAGTTATGTTATGAGGAGGTCAGAAAAATAAATGGGGCTTACGTCACATATTGTCAAAAATAGATTCCTTTGCATGACGACACGTGACGTAAGGAGAAACTACACGATAATGCATTTGAATTAAACAACTTCTTCTTTTTCTTCTTCTTCTATCCCGTGGTTGGGGCAACCGATGGGGCACCACTGCTTCTGAAAACCAGCTGTCGCCATTTATCTTTGTCCTCTGCTTTCCTCAGATTGTCACCCTTTCCTGTCCACTCTGTGATGTTGTCCTCCCATCTCCTTCTCTGCCTTCCTCTCTTTCTCTTTCCTTGTACGGTTCCATTGTTTTGGCACGTCCTGTGGAATGAAACAACAGGATGTCTTTAAATCGAAATTATGGCCTTTACAAATTACCCAAAAGAGACAGTATTCTATGACCAGCTGTTTGCATGTTTGTTTGTTTGTTTGTTTATTCGTTTTTTTCTTGGCTTGTCTGTTTGTCTGCTTGTTTGTTTGTTTGTTTGTCTGTCTGTGTGTTGGTTTGTTTGTTTGTTTATGTGTTTGGTTGAGTTTTTTGTAATTCTTATTTTGTTTTGGTTTGAGTTTTGTGTGGGGGGGTTTTGGGGTGGGGGTGGGGGGTGGGGGGGTTTCCTTTGGGAATGCTTTTGTTTTTGTTTTTGTTTTGTTTTTAGTACATGTATTTTTGTCTTTTTTCTCGAAGCGACTTCAAGGGGACTAAGACCATTTAAAAAATGTTTCCAACCCTTTCATTCATTACTCACTGTCACATTCGGTCGCTTTTAAGCACTAGGGGGCTATCCCGAAAAATGCTGTTTTGAGAAAACCGAAGGTAAAGTTTTTGCCCCTTGTTCAGTTTCTTTAAAAGACAAGGAAATTTTTATCGATATCTAAACAAATATACACACCAATAAGACAAAACTTCTCCTATAGGTAGGGCAATGCCCACTTTTGGTGTAGGTCAAGATTTCTGGAAACCCCCGAAATCTGGGTTAGCCAAATATACACACCAATGAAACCAAACTTCTCCTATGGGTAGGGCAATGCCCGCTTTTGGTGTAGGTCAAGATTTCTGGAAACCCACCAAATGTGGGTTAGCCCGCTTGTCCTTAAAGGCGACCATTATTTTGTCCTCCTCAGTAAATCTCCACGTCAAGGTACGGGAGATAGAGATGGTCTGCCCCGGCTATGAGCACTGCTTCAACCAGACTCAGTCCTACAACGCACGTGCAATGTCGCAGGCACTGGAGTCTGAGCGGAGGTCCCTCGTCTGCGAGTGAGTAGGCCTACTGCTTGTTGGATGGAAGGAGGGGTGGGTAGGTGGAGGGGGGGGTGGATGGGGGAAGGGGTGGATGGAGGAAGGGGTGGATGGAAGGATGGATAGATGGATGGATGGATGGATGGAGAGAGGGAGGGAGGGAGGGAGGGAGGGATAGATGGATGGATGGATGGATGGATGGATGAATGGATGGATGGATGGATGGATGGATGGATTGTGGCGTCGGTGGCCTAGTGGTTAGCCTACCGGACTCGTAATCATGAGGTTGCGGGTTCGGGGGTTCGAGTCGCGGGCTCGACGTTGTGTCCTTGGGGAAGGCATTTTACACGAATTTTCCTCACTTCACCCAAGTGGGAATGGATACCCGGCCATAGACAGCGAAAGATCTTGTCAGCATGTCAGTGGTAGTGTTTTAGCGCCTGTAAATGGCTGCTTGCACTGGATGCTTCCCGGGAAGTTGAGGTTGTTTCAGAATGCTCTCATGTCTGCTGGGGTAATAGTATAAATTGCGAAGCGCATAGAGCTTGCCGTTGAGCGAGGATTGCTCTATAAAAATGTTATCTATTAATTATTATTATTATTATTATTATTATTAATATTATTGTTGTTGTTATGATTATCATTATTACTATTATTATCAGTAGTAGTAGTAGTAGTAGTAGTAGTAGCAGCAGCAGCAGTAGTAGTAGTAGTAGTAGTAGTAGTAGCAGCAGCAGCAGCAGCAGCAGCAGCAGCAGCAGCAGCAGCAGCAGCAGCAGCAGTAGTAGTAGTAGTAGTAGTAGTAGTAGTAGTAGTAGTAGTAGTAGTAGTAGTAGTAGTAGTAGTATAGATAGATAGATAGATAGATAGATAGATAGATAGATAGATAGATAGATTTTAGTTTTTTATATATTTTAGTAGAGGTTTTACGGCGCTTGCAACTGCATAAGGTCATATGAGCGCCAGAAGATTGAGGGTGTTACAAGAGAGTAACAAACATAAAAAAGAAGAAGGGGAAGAGAGATAGATAGATAGATAGATAGATAGATAGATAGATAGATAGATAGATAGATAGATAGATAGATAGATAGATAGATAGATAGATAGATAGATAGATAGATAGATAGATAGTTAGTGTTATGGAAAGAATTATCTTTGACTTTAGCACAGGCATTAGTAGTAGTAGTAGTAGTAGTAGTAGTAGTAGTAGTAGTAGTAGTAGTAGTAGTAGTAGTAGTAGTAGTAGTAGTATTATTATTATTATGCTGATGACGATGACGATAACGATAACGATAACCATAACGACAACAATAGCAATAACAACAACAACATCATCATCATCATCATCATCACCATCATCATCATCATCATCATCATCATCATCATCATCATCATCATCACCAACACCATTACAAGCAACAACAACAACTACAACAACAACAACAACAACAACAACAACAACAACAAACACAACAACAACAACAACAACAACAACAACAACAACAACAACAACAAACTGCGGACCTACAAAAATAGAACGGACAAAACATCGGACCCAATCTGTCCATTGTGCAGCTGGGAGCCCTAAGATTTGGAGCACTGGCTGCAGAGATGCCCCGCCACAGAGGTCCGGTGGTGGCATCTCTTTGGGGGATTCAGGGAGGTTAGACTGCCTCACCCGCTACCCAAGGGAGGCGGTGGCCCTGGCGAGGAGCACGCTCTTCGGGGCTCCAAACATTTCAAACGGATAGGCTACCACACACACAACAACAACAACAACAACAACAACAACAACAACAACAACAACAACAACAACGACAACAACAGCAACAACAAGCACTACAACAACAACAACCACCACCACCCTATCGTCACTGTGTTCCCCAGGGGTTCCCGCCTCAACATCCTGTGTCTGGACGACGTTCTGTGTGGGTGTGGCTGGGGGTCAGACAGCGTGTCAAGGTCAACGCTCCGGACGCTCCGACACAACCACGAACAGTTCTGTGATGAAGGTCACGTGTTGTTTTTCTCTTTCTTCTTCCTTCCTTTATTTTTTGTTTCGTTTTTTTGTGTGTTTTTTGTTTTGTTTTGGCATTTTTGTCATTTTTCTCGAGGGGACCTAAAGGTGACAAAGATAAGACCTAGATCTAGTGTTGATAGGAGCGTTAAACCTATAACATTTTTATATTTTAAGATATTTATTAAGACCATTTCTTGAAAAGATGTCTCCAACCCTTTCATTCATTACTCACTGTCGCATTCGGTCGCTTTTTAGCACAAGCGGGCTATCCCGAAAAAATGCTATTTTGAGAAAATCGAAGGTAAAGTTTTTGCCCCTTTTTCAGTTTCTTTAAAAGGCAAGGAGAGTGTTCTCTATAATGAAACAAATATACACACCAATGAAACCAAACTTCTCCTATAGGTAAGGGAATGCCCACTGTTTTTGGTGTAGGACTAGATTTCTGGAAACCCCCCAATTCTGGGTTAGCCTGCTTGTCCTTAAAAGCGACCATTCATCTCTTTTCTTAAGTGGTGGTTTGTACCGTGCTGCCATCTAAAGACAGAATGAGTTAACTGCAAAGTTGTTTCATCTCCAAAGACAGAGTGAGTTAACCGCAAAGTTGTCTCAATTCCAAAGACAGAGAGAGTCAACTACAAGGTTCTTTCAATTCCAAAGACAGAATGAGTTAACAGCAAATTTGTTTCAGTTCCAAAGACAGAGTGAGTTGATCATAAAGTTGTTTCATTTCCAAAGACAGAATGAGTTAACTGCAAAGTTGTTTCATTGACAGCAAAGTTGTTTCAATTCCAACGACAGAGTGAGTTAACTGTAAAGTTGTTTCATTGACTGCAAAGCTGTTTCATTGACTGCAAAGTTGTTTTATTTTCAACGACAGAGAGGGTTGACTGCAAAGTTGTTTCATTTCCAACGACAGAGTGAGTTAACTGTAAAGTTGTTTCATTGACTGCAAAGTTGTTTTATTTTCAAAGACAGAGAGGGTTGACTGCAAAGTTGTTTCATTGACTGCAAAGTTGTTTTATTTCCAATGACAGAGTGAGTTAACTGCAAAGTTGTTTCATTGACTGCAAAGTTGTTTCATTGACTGCAAAGTTGTTTCATTGACTGCAAAGTTGTTTCTTTGACTGCAAAGTTGTTTCATTGACTGCAAAGTTGTTTCTTTGACTACAAAGTTGTTTCATTGACTGCAAAGTTGTTTCTTTGACTGCAAAGTTGTTTCTTTGACTGCAAAGTTGTTTCATTGACTGCAACGTTGTGTCATTGACGGCAAAGTTGTGTTATTTCCAACAACAGAGAGAGTTGACTGCAAAGTTGTTGTTTTTTTTCCAACGACAGAGAGGGTTGACTGCAAAGTTAACTCGGCGCCAAAGGCAGAGTGATGTACGAGTAACCACACGTCATTTCTTGATTTTGAGAAGAATCCAAAATACTGTTCCTGCTTTGTTTTATGTTTTTTTTAATTTTTATTATTAAGCGTTTTATGGCACTTGTTGCAACACAACTCTGTTGTATTAGTGCCAAACATTAGAGGTGCTACAAGAGAGTACTTACTTTTACTTTTACTTTATTTTTACAAGAGAGTAACAAACATAAAAAAGAAGGAGGAGGAGGAGAGATTAGGACGATGGATATTTGATAGGAAATAAAGAGCAAATCCCCCCCAGAGCACCCGCCAACCACCCACCAGTGGTCGTGTGTACCGTAGTTCTGTCTACAACAGGCATGGGCAAGCGGGTCCACCAAGTTCCGGGCCGAATTGAGCGGTTTCGAATATCTCGCGGGCCAGATTTGGCAATTCTGAATATCTTGCGGGCCAGATTTGGCTATTCTGAATATCTCGCGGGCCAGATTTGGCTATTCTGAATATATTGCGGGCCAGATTTGGCTATTCTGAATATCTCGCGGGCCAAATTAAACGATTCTGAATATCTGGCGGGCCAGATTTGGCTATTCTGAATGCCTTGCGGGCCAAATTATCCTGCGGGCCAATTTTAACGCTTCTGAATATCTTGCGGGCTTGATTAAACGATTCTTAATATCTTGCGAGACAGATTAAGCGGTTCCGAATATCTCTTGGGCCGGATTGCGATTCCGAATATCTCGTGGCCTAAAGCAGGAGAATATAAGGTGAAATCGGTTGAAATGGTAATAATGGTCAAGATCTTTAAAAGTGTGATTGAAACTGACGCTATGGCGTAATATGTCACTCATATGTCTGTTTGACTCCGTCGCTTCCTTCTTGGATAAAGTGAAATGTAACCTTAGAAAGTAACAATATACACTCTTGTCGCAATCAATTGCGAGGCAGCGTGGTGGAATCAGGCTCTCGTCAAAATAATCAAAGTGAAGAAACTTGCATTTTTCCGCAGGTTTGTGAATTTTTCTCAAATTTTTGTTTTTTTGGCTCAACACCTTCATGCCCATTAAAGAACCAATCTCCGTGTGGATTTTTCTGAAAAACGTTGATTAAAGGCACAAAAAATGTAAATTTTCAGTTACCACGGACTCTTAAGCTAAGGAAATAACTAATCTTAGGCGGCCATTTTCTCACTAATTTTACCTCTGAAAACAGGTGACCCCCACCTCCTTCTTTCGCAAATATTTCGACTTGTATTCTAGATAAATGGATATTTCTTTCATTCAAATAAAGACAAGTGAACAAGCTTTAAGATGATACCAATAACTCTACATGCCCAAAAATTGACTAGAGCGTGATTCCACCACGCTACCTCACATATACACTCTTGTCGCAATCAATTCTGTGTTTGCTTTTTTTGGTTGTTGTTTTTTTTTCTTCTTTTTTTGGTTTTGTGTTTGGGGAGGGTTTAAAAAATGTCTGCTTGCTCACCTGTCTGTCTGTCTGTTTGTTCATTATCCTCTTTGTATTCGTTCCTTTCCTTTTGTCTTTTGGAGTATCTCTCCCCCATCCCCTCCCCACCCCAAGTATAAGTATTGTTTTTTAAGCGTTTGTTCAGAATGTAACTTGCATTATTATGTAAGGTCATACTGTCTTACTCTCTTACACTCAGGGGCTCTCGTGGCCTAGTGGTTAAGGTGTTCGCCTCTCATTCAAAGGTCCCGGGTTCGAATCCTGGTAGCGACGGAAAATGTTTTTCTCCAAAATTATCTCCTTTCATCTCCTTTCACCTCCTTTCCTGCTCTCTAGCTCTCTTGCAATGTTCTGTCGTCTGTTTTCGTCTCCACTTTCTGCCACCACCCCCTCACCTCCTTTGCCCCCTCCTCTGGGCTCCTGACTCTTTCTGCAGCCTTTTTGTTGCTTCTACTGCTTCTCCTTTGCTCCTTCTTACTACTGTCTTTCTGCCACACCCCTGATCTTCTGGAAGGTAAGATCTACACCTAGCCTTCTCGGACAAGGGTGAAAAATGTCGGATGTCCCGTGTGCAAGTTGCGCACGTTAAAAATCCATTGGGGCTCTAAAATCGATAAGAGTAGGCTTCGGCCGCCACTAGGGCAAAATTCAAAATTTTCTACAAACTGAAAATGTTTAAAGTGTCCCGCGCGCTCATCTTATGACCTTACGTAGTTGCAAGCGCCGTAAAACACTTACAACCCCCCCCCCCCCAAAAAAAAAATCTTACACACATACACAGACAAGGTTATACTATCTCTTTCTCACACACATACAAACACAACACACATACCAAATACACACACAGACACAAATACAGACCCCCCCCCCACACACACACACACATACACACAAACACACACACACAAATGCATACACACAAAAATATATGTATATATACCCCCACCCCCACTTACCCTCCCCTCCCCCCATCCTCACACCTGTCCTCTCCTGCCTCCCGCTTACTACCTCACTCACTCTCATTTTGGTGTCAATATTTTCCTGTCTTTTCAGATCTGAATATCGGTTATCTAAACTGCAATGGTAAGTTGTTGTTGTTGTTGTTGTTGTTGTTGTTTTTGTTGTTCTTGTCGTCGTCGTCGTCGTCGTCGTTGTTGTTGTTGTTGTTGTTGTTATTATCGTCGTCGTCGTTGTTGTTGTTGTTGTTGTTGTTGTTGTTGTTGTTGTTGTTGTTGTTGTTGTTGTTGCTGTTCATTGTTGCTGAGAAGTAAAACATAAAAGCATGGTTGCGTGAAAGGATGGATAATAAACTGTTAATTTATTGTTGAAAGAATGAATAGATGAGCTAATACAATTTCAATCAATCAATCAATTAATCAATCAATCAATCATCAATCAATCAATCGATCAATCAGTCAATCAATTGGTGGATAAATGAATGAATGAATAAATAAATGACTGAGTATCCATCTCGCACCGTCGATAGGCTAAAAGACCTGCGAGAGACGAAATAAATAAACAAATAAATGGCACTGCACATGTTCCAGACAAGTCCATAGGCGAAAAGGCCAGCGACCTGTGTTAAGACTTTGTAAGCACGTGCGAGAGACGAAATAAATAAATAAATGAATGAATGAATGAATGAATGAATGAATGAATGAATGAATGAATGAATGGCACTGTACGTTTTCCAGTCTAGTCTATAGACGAAAAGGCTGGCGACCTGTGTGAAGAGTTTATCAACGCTTGCGGGAGGAAATGAATAAATACATAAATAAATAAATGAATAAATGAATGAATAAATAAATAAATGAATCAATAAATGAATGAATGAATGAATGAATGAATGAATGAATGAATGAATGAAT